CTGGAGCAAGGAGTTGCTCGTGGCCTGGGACTCAGAGAGGTATTCTGAGAGAGCTGTGTGTATGGACTATACCTACAAGAAAAGGTTTGCTGTTATTTTGTTTTGGTGACAGGAGAAGCCCTTCACCTCTGAGAGAGGAATCATCTTCTGTTTAGTTAGTGCCTGGATGACAAGGGTTTATTTTGATGTTTTGTTTATTTTGATATTTCTTGCAAACCTTTTTAATAAAACTGACAACCAGTCAGATTTTGACGAAAGCCTGCTGTGCGGTCTACCTTTGTCCCAGGGAAGGAGATCCCCCACCTGAGCTAACCCCACAGTAGGTATGGATATATGTGTATCTATGTACTGTGTATGTACTGTAGTTTGTCCTTCTGTCCTCTATGTGCATAAATAATATTTGAATCTGTATATATAAAACTACAGCTCTTTTCTGTTAAGGTTTTACATTAGAATTTAGGAATAACATACTGGATCTACCCTCCAAGACATTTATACAGTTGCTATACAGAATTATTAAGTCAGTTAAATATAATTTATATGTTATTTGGAAACACTTTTAGCTGACTAAATTAATTGTCCAGGCATTTCTCAGGATAAAAATCTAAACATACACTTGGTTGCACAAGAAGATTCCTTCTGGAGTCTGTCACATTATGCTGAGGAGGCAGTGGCAGTGAATGTATCCTATCAGTGAGATGAGTGCTGGGTACGAGCACACAAGAAGGTATTGATCTCTGGAAAGTGGCATCAATATTTTGTTTGTAAGAGGTTGATCATTTATTTGGTGAAGGAATCATGTTTGCTCACCACCTTTCAAGATTTGATTGAATCTCGGAGAATATATGTTGGACTGAGCACTTTTCCACTTTTCATATGTCTGGTTTCACTTTTCATATGGCGGGTTGCACTTATTTATTATAAAGTTGTGGTTTGTTAGCCTTTTTTGTATTGTGAGAGGGTTCACAAGTGTATTTGTATTGCTATAAATGTGTAGAGATGCGCACCAAGTGTATGTTTAGATTACTATAAGGTATTTATTCTACTTTTTTAGGAGCAGCACTCTTTTTGGTTTATATTTCACTAAGTGCGAATAATGTTTTATAGATTGTTTCCTGGGATAACAGAATAGAATAGAATAGAAAAAATAGAATAGAACAGAACAAATATAGTTGTCTTCCAAAATTCAAATTTCTAATCAATTTGAAAATAACGAATGTACGAAACGAATAAGAACATAGGAAATTAATTCCGAAAACAAATTTTTCTAACATAATGAATATGATGAAACAAAATGATTAATGAACGACTTTGAAAAGAAAATAATTTTTACATCGTGCACATCTCTACATACCATTACCTGAACAAATGAGAACATTTACATACATATTATGGTAAGTCGTTTACATTTTATTTAACTTAAGGCATTTTAAATAAAATAATAAAAAAAAGTGTTTGAGAAAAGACCAATGTGGGGCCGGGAACTAACTAAAAAAAGACCAACAAGTGTGTGGGGTGTGGAATCCTACTGTGGAAGACCACTGTATGTGCAGTAAGTGACAACTCTCACTAGAGAAAGGACAGTCTGTGTTCATGGGGTAGGATCTCACAGGGGACAGACACATTTGTATGCTGGTGGTGGGATCTCATTGAGAAAAGACCAGTTGTCTTTTCTCAATGGGGCAGCACAGTAGCTAAATGGTTAGCACTTCTGCCTGATAGTACTAGGGTCTTTGGGTCGAATCCCAACCATGGCACCACCTGCATGGAGTTTGTATATTCTCCCTGTGCCTGAATGGGTTTCCTCCCACACTCCAAAGACATGCTGGTAGGTTAATTGGATCCTGTCTAAATTGGTGTATGAATGTAGGTTAGGGACCTTAGATTGTACACCCCTTGAGGGTTAGGGACTGATGTGAATGTACAATATATATGTAAATTGACAGCGCTATATAATTACCTGTAATATATAAAATGTGTGTGAGCTGGGTTAGTGATCTCACTGGGGAATGACCCTTGTATATGCTGAACACCACTCAATATACAGTATAATTGACCAATGTGCATTCTAGGGATTGAGATCCTACTGTGGAAGACCAACATTTGGTGCAGAGGGAGGCAACTCTCCATGAGGAAAGACCATTCTGTGTTCGAGGGGTGGAACCTCACTGGGGACAGACACATCCATGTGCTCATGGTGGGATCTCCCTGAGAAAAGAACAATGTGTGTGAGCTGAGTTAGGGATCTCAGTGGGGAATGAACATTGTGTTCAATAGGGTGGTGTCTTGCTGGGGGACAGACATATCTGTGTGCACATGAGCTGGGTAGGGCTTTCACTGGGGAACAGTGAAACATGCTTAAAGCAGAGTTCCACCCAAAAGGGGAAGTTCCCCTTTAAAGATTGGTCCCCCACTCCCCATTAAGGATTGGCACCTTTGGGGGGCGGGGAAATTGGATACCCTAATTTGACAGCTCCCACTTCCGCTGCAATCGTCTAGGCCAGTGATGGCGAACCTTTTTGAGCCCGAGTGCCCAAACTGCAACCCAAAACCAACTTATTTCTTTCAAAGTGCCAACACTGCAATGAAACTTGAATATCGAGCTTTTGGTTTAGAAAAAACAACTCGTACAGTAGTGCAAACTAATTAACAGTACAGGGATGACCAGAGACTGCGGACAGTACAGGGATGACCAGAGACTGCGGACAGTACAGATGACTGCTGACCTTTGGGGAGGGAGGGGGAGCGGGTACCTGAATTTGACAGGTACCCGCTCTTACTTCCGCAGAGTTTTTTTTTTATCTTACCTGTTCCTTTATCCAGCCGCACGCTGTCTTCCCGGCTTCTGTAGTGTGGGCGCTCGTCGGACAGCCGGATGCCCAGTGCGCATGAGCGAGAAGCGCTGCGCTTTGTGATTGGTCCGGCGGCTTCTGGGATCTGTCATGTGTCCCAGGTACCGCCTTACCATTCACAAAGAGCACTGCTTCTTGTGCATGCGCACTTGGGACCCGGCTGTCACGCACACTACAGCCGGGAAGACAGCGCGCCGCTGGATTCTCCTGGCGTGCCCACAGATAAGGCTCGGCGTGCCGGTTGTGGCACGCGTGCCACGGGTTCGCCATCACTGGTCTAGGCAATCAGAAACGGAAGTTGTCCTCCTACCCTCTCTCCTTGAAGTCTTGTGGGACACGTGACAGGTCCCAGAAGACTACAGGGCCATTCACAAAGTGCAGCGCTTCTCTTGCATGCGCAGTGGGCATCCGGCTGTGAAGCCGCGAGCTTTCACAGCCGGGTGCCCACACTGAAGATGCCGGCGCCTGGAATACAGGATGGCTGGTGAAACGGGCTGCGGCGGGGGCAATGCGGGATTGTGGGACAGGTGAGTGGCTGTTTTTTTAAAAGTCAGCAGCTACAGTTTTTGTAGCTGCTGACTATTATTTTTTTACATAGTGAGTGGAACTCCGCTTTAATACTACTCATTATACAATTGAAAAACTTGTGTGCTGGGGGTGGGATTTCACTGAGAAAAAAGCCCAACGTGTGTGCTGTATTTGTGATCCTACTGCAGAAGACCAATACGTGTGCAGAGTATGGTAAGTCTCACTGGGGAATGACCAAATTGTGTTTGAGAGGTGGGATCTCCCTGGGGAATGACCAATCTGTGCTCAAGGGATGGGGAATACCCAATGTGTATTCTAATCACTACTCAGTATGCAATCTTTAGGTGGATGGTTGTTACTTCAAACCAGGTGCATGCCGTGAATGGGATCTCACTGTGTAAAAGACCAATCTGTGCTTGGTAGGTGGAATCTCCCTGGGCAATGACCAGTCTGTGCTCGTGAGGTGGGATCTCCCTGGGCAATGACCAGTCTGTGCTCGTGAGGTGGGATCTCCCTGGGCAATGACCAGTCTGTGCTCGTGAGGTGGGATCTCCCTGGGCAATGACCAGTCTGTGCTCGTGAGGTGGGATCTCCCTGGGCAATGACCAATCTGTGCTCGTTAGGTGGGATTTCCCTGGGCAATGACCAATCTGTGCTCGTTAGGTGGGATTTCCCTGGGGAATGACCAATGTGTAGCTGAATATGCAATTTGTTAGGTGGATTGTGGTTACTGTACTGTACGTTCAGAGAGAGGAATCTCATTCGGCAAAGACCAATCTGTCTGTGGTGGGTTGGATCTCACTGGAAAACGACCAATCTTTGTGTAGGGGTGGGATCTTTCTTGGGAAAACCAATGTGTATTCTGGACACTGTTCAATATGCAATTTATGTGGTGGATTGTGGGTACTGCCTGCCATGTACATGCTGCAGGTGGCATCTCACTGGGTAAAGACCAATCTATGTGCAGGGGGATCTTGCTGATAAAAGACCGATCTGTGGGTGAAGGGGGATATTACTGGGGAAAGACCAACGTGTGTGCTGGAGTTGTAACGTCACTGCTGGAAATGCGTCTGCATTCAAGACTGGAGGTAGAATCCACCAATGATACATGTCAAAGTGAAAGTATAACTTTTGTATTATATCATGAAGGATATTTCATACCCAATGTTATTTTTCCATTCAATTTTTATATGTTCCATTCCAGTTCTCTTTATATGTGATACTTATCACAATATATCACTTATTATCACTCATGAGAAAACCCATAATGCCACTAGTGTAATGGATGCACCCTGCACTATTTTTTTTATGTAAAAAACAATATAAATAGTGAACATTGGTACAAAATATACTTTAGAAACATAAAGACTTAAAAATAAAGATTGAAGACCCAAAACTAGTAAAGTCGTTCTCTAAATACAGTATTTTTTTATTTAGAAGATATGCTTTGAGCTTGGTTTAGGCTTTCTGGTATTATCTATAGTAAACACAACATTGACCATTTCATCTGCTTTCTTTACTACAGAATAATTTATTTAAAACAGCTTTATTAATTAAATATAATAGCGTGAATCATTTTATTTCAAGCAAATCTTCATTTTACTCTTCATAATTGTTTCTTTAATGTAGCTGTGAATATGAAATGTCACAGCATCTAAACCTGACATCGTTGAGGGCCGTGTCATCTCCACTACCTTGGGGAGCCTCCACTCTGGTTCTGATACCACAAATTCCATATTCGCAGACATTACTCCACTGGTAAAATGTTCCCCAGGGTCCGCCATTACCTATCAGGATCTTTTGATCAGAGCATTGGAACATGATATTGTTGGCTGCGGTATCATCACCTTTACCAGGAAGGGGCTGCTCAACTTGCAGAGAAAAGCTGATGAGATTCCCAGTGGGACACCACTGAACACCAGTCCAATCTCCCCATCTGTATTGAAAAACAAAAATGTATATCATCTCATTGTTGATCTATGGAGGTATGCTTATTTTACCCTGCAGCAATACTAGGCAATTAGATAATTAAATTAGATTAGATTTAGACTTCGACCATGCACTTGGACTGTCTTGCATGGAAAAATCACAAATCCACTTTAATAGACAACCAGACCCTGAGGGAAGTTGTCCTTTAATCAATTCCCCGACCCACTCTGATAAAGTACAAACCTTCAGCTCTAATCCAGCAATGTTTGCTGTGTGGCCCAGTCTGGTGCCGCATGTCCTTCAAAAAGAAAGTCTCTGGCCAGCTCTTCTTCATACTGTGGATGAGTATTGCAGCTCTTTTAATTCTTATGGGGCAGTTGTGCTTTGCAGGACCACTGGAGGCCACCATCAATTCAGCTATCCCATTGGAATGAATGAGGCTAAGGTCACATGCACAGTGTGAATAGGAGCCAATTATTCATATGCTTTATGAAGTCTATGTGAACCTGAACAAAGCCATAAAGCAAAGATGACTGGATTTAGGCTAAAGGTAAGCATGTTATCAGGTAAACTGAACTCAATGGGGTGAGGGGATTAATAAAAGGACAACTTCACCAATCACGGTAACCAAAACTAATTCTATCTGATTGGGGTTGGTATTAGCACAGCAATGAACTAGGGCCAGCAAGTAGCTTGTATCACAATCCACTGCTCACCTTAGATCTGTGATGGAGGGATTCCCCTGGGAATGTTGGAGAAGAAGGCAAATCCAGAATAAGCACTGACCTTGTTGAATATTATTATATATACCTAATAATATTATTTGTCCAAAAAAGTTTGAAAAACCATAAAATGTGATGACAGTTAAACAAAAATCCCTGAAGAAGACCCCAGATGAAATGTACGTAGGGCAGGTCATCTCAGGGATTTCATCATGTTCTACTCTTGCGGTTAGTGTGTCTGTCCAACGCTATCTCCTGGTAGTGTTGGAATTGAGGTGATTGATATTAATAACATGTTATTAACATACATATTAGTAATATTCAAAAAAAGTTTGAAGATTCATAAAATGTGATGACTCCAGTTACCCATAAGTCCCTGAGGTCCACAGATGAAATGTATGTAGGGCAGGTCTTTTCATTGACATCATCATGTTCTACTCATGTAACTAGTGTTTCTGGCCAACACTATTTCCTGGTAGTGTTGCAGTTGAGGTTCAGTTAGTGTTTCTGACCAATGCTATCTCCTGGCAGTGTTGCAACTGAGGCGATTTATTTGATATATATATTAATATTATTCACAAAAGTTTGAAGACTCATAAAATGTGATGATACCAGTTACCCATAAGCCCCTAAGGTCCACATATGAAATGTATGTAGAGCAGATCATTTCAATGACGTCATCATGTTCCACTCATGTTTAGTGTTTTGTACTCATGTTAGTGTTTCTGGCCAATGCTCTCTCCTGGTAGTGTTGCAACTGAGGTGATCGTTATTAATAAAATATTAATATACATATTAATAATATATTCCAAAAAGTTTGAAGACTCATAAAATATGATGATCCCTGCTTTTTCTTTTCTGAGTACCGTATTTTTCGCCGTATAAGACGCACTTTTTCTTCCCCAAAACTGGGGGGGAAAAGTTGGTGCGTCTTATACGATGAATAGAGAGAGAATCCGTGAGGAGCGGCCACGGCTGTAGGAAAGGCCGCGGCTTTGGCCTATCTCTGGAGCGGTCGGCCATCTTAGTACACTCGGCGGTGCGCGCTGACGTCATCACCCCCTCTGCTCATGGATCAGCCCTGAAGACCGGAACGGCGCGGGAACATGGCGAGAGGAACGCGTGGAGCAAAGGTAAGTGAATTGACACAATATGGGGAATGAATTACTATAGGGGGGATGAATTACTATAGGGGGGATGAATTACTATATGGGGGATTAATTACTATGGGGGATGAATTACTATATGGGGGATGAATTACTTTTGGGGATGAATTACTATATGGGGGATGAATTACTATATGGGGGATGAATTACTATGGGGGATGAATTACTATATGGGGGATGAATTACTATATGGGGGATGAATTACTATGGGGGATGAATTACTATATGGGGGATGAATTACTATGGGGGATGAATTACTATATGGGGGATGAATTACTATATGGGGGATGAATTACTATGGGGGATGAATTACTATGGGGGATGAATTACTATATGGGGGATGAATTACTATGGGGGATGAATTACTATGGGGGATGAATTACTATATGGGGGATGAATTACTATGGGGGATGAATTACTATATGGGGGATGAATTACTATATGTATTAGGTTCAGAATCTTTTTTTTCTAGATTTTCCTCCTTTAAAATTGGGTGCGTCTTATATTCCGGAGCGTCTTATATGGCGAAAAATACGGTATATTGCAACAAATGATTTCTAAATTAATTAAGAGTGTCTCTACTTACTATAAGAAGTGAAGTTTCTGACACCCTGAGTAGAAATGAGCCAATGGTTTGCTCAGAATCTAGGTTTGGACTGAACTTTGGCTGTTTGGACAAACACCTGAATGTTTCCCTATCCGACCCCCTTTTCTATGTGAGCTGAGCATAATATATTATTCCCGGCTTACCAATGCTTTCATACTTTGCCCAAGAGGATATAGATTTCCAGGCATTTGTGAATGGTTCATGCCTTAATTGCTAGGAATAGATCTCCTGCAGAGTTGATGGACCACAGCCTTTGGACTTTGACATGTAGGCACCATCATGGGTTTTTGAGAAATTTGAAATACAGACTTTCAGCATGAAAAATCGAAGAATCCTGACCTGCCTGATGATTGCAAAAGAACGTTTATTCGTTGGCTTTTGTTCAGGGTGGTAGTATTTTGGGGGTTTCGTTTCCATTTTTTGGGTTTATTGATTCTTATTGTATGTTCATAGGGCCATATTTTTAAGTTTGAGGTGCTTGAAGTGTAGCATTCACTCATACCTCCCAACTTTAGAACTTGAGAATGAGGGACACTTGGGGAGACCGGCTATGTCAGTGGTCGGCAAGCCGCGGCTCGCGAGCCACATGCGGCTCTTTACACACTTTAATGCGGCTCTTCTGTGTGCCGGGCGCCCGCTCCCCTCCCTCCTTTCGGGCGACCGCCCCAAAAGTCAGGACTCTGCAGCTAGCCCAGCAATGGGCAAACTACGGCCCGGCGGACTTTTTAATCCAGCCCGCGGAGCGTGATCCAAAAAAAAAAACAGCCAGGGCAGCGCGCTCAAATGCAATGATTGGCCAGTCTCGCTGCCACTCACATCCTGATAGCCAGTGATTGGCTGTCAGGATGTGTGTAGGCGGGGCAGCGTGACGAACGTGAGAGGAGCTAGGCTCCTCTCACAGTCCGCCCCGAAGACCGGAACGGCGCGGGAACACGGCGAGAAGAACGCGTGGAGCAAAGGTAAGTGAATTGACACAGGGGGGACTTGGCTTACTACTTGCTACTTACTTACTACTACTATATGAGGGATGAATTAATATGGGGGATGAATTACTATAGGGGGGATGAATTACTATAGGGGGGATGAATTACTATAGGGGGGATGAATTACTATATGGGGGATGAATTACTATGGGGGATGAATTACTATAGGGGGGATGAATTACTATGGGGGATGAATTACTATAGGGGGGATGAATTACTATATGGGGGATGAATTACTATGGGGGATGAATTACTATAGGGGGGATGAATTACTATAGGGAATGAATTAATATGGGGGATGAATTACTATAGGGGATGAATTACTATGGGGGATGAATTACTATGGGGGATGAATTACTATATGGGGGATGAATTACTATAGGGGGATGAATTACTATAGGGAATGAATTACTATGGGGGATGAATTACTATGGGGGATGAATTACTATATGGGGGATGAATTACTATATGGGGGATGAATTACTATGGGGGATGAATTACTATATGGGTGATGAATTACTATGGGGGATGAATTACTATATGGGGGATGAATTACTATAAAAACTTATTGAAACTAAAAACAGTGTACCATCCTATGTATTTTCAGTTTTAAAAATGTGGCTCTCAAAATCAAATTTCAATCGTGGTTTTGGCGAGATTTGGCTCAGTTGAAAAAAAAGGTTGCCCACCACTGGGCTATGTGTATAGCACATCATGCCAAAAAGTGTGCGTGATTGGATTAATTTGAATATTAGGCATGGCTTAATGGATTCTCATTAGAAACAATAAAGAAAGCTGATATTTAAAGCAAGTTAAATTCACCAGCTGTACAAACTACCCCTCTTTTACCTGCACACATCCACCCGTAAATACACTGTCCCCCTTTTCCACTGCACACACACTGTCCTACCCTACACACTTCTTCCCCTCTCTACACATTGCATCTCATGTCCTCTGTACACATTGACCCCAATTCACACTGCCCCTTTCTGTACAAATCCCCCACCCCAGTTCAATGCACCCCCTCTGTGTAAACACTGCACCCATTCACATTGTCCCCTACATACACTGGGGAGTTAGGGTGATAGGAGAGAGACAGGGAGGCATTGTGGCCTATCACCTCACCCCCAGCCCTGCGGAACATCCCTTCTGTCACCCCTCTCCCATTCCTGCAGAACATCACCCCTGTCACCTCTCCCATTCCTGCAGAACATCTCTCCTGTCACTTTGCTCCCAGCCCTGCAGAACATCGCTCCTGTCACCCCTGTCCCAGCTCTGCAGAACATCACTCCTGTCACCGCTCTCCCATTCCTGCAGAATATCATTTATGTCACCCCTCTCATAGCCCCACATATCATTCCTCATGATATCCTGCTTCAAGCCATTTGGAACATCACTCCTATCACCCTGCTCCAAGCCAAGCAAAACTTCACTCCTGTCACCTTGCTCCAAGTCTGCAGAACATCACTCTTGTCACCCCAAGCCCCGGAAGAATTTAACTTCTCTTACCCCTTTCCCAGCCCTGCAGGACATCACTCCTGTCACTCCTCTCTTATCC